GTATGAGATACATTGACTTAGATAAAATGAAACATTTTTGATAGTCTTTTGATAGGCACTTAATGTGATTTTTTTCTCCCAAGAAATATAGAGCTTGCATGCTTGTTTGACCACAAAATCATTTTCTTCAAGAACCATTAAGTACTGGTGTTTTCTGGAACATACTTTAAGAAATTTTGAGTTAATGTACTGTCCCCAAAAGACTTCAGTTAACAAGAAAATGTTACCAGGGTGAAGAAACACATAATAGCACTTAAAATGCTCATTGTGTATGTTACATTTTTGTGTAAACACTGTGTAATGTCCACAAATTAAAAGCAATTTGAAATCATGAGTGGAAGAGATTTATTATTCTAGATGGTGACTGATTATTCAACGACATCTGCCCAATCTGCCCACTCTGAGCAAAATGGACTTAGAGGTACAAGTCAGTGTATGACAGTGACATTCATTTGGTTGAAAATAAAGTGCTGTGGCAATACTTGTTTTTCTTTTGTAGAAGGTAATAACTTTTAAGTACTGAATGCCTATTTTTCAAATAATCTTTCATTCCTTTTATAAAATTGATGAAGCTAAAATAAACGAGAAAAAGAAGAGAAACAAATGAAAGAAATTATTGGGGCAGGATCACATCATTTTTCCCAACACTGTTACACCGCTCAAGTTAGAAAACCTAAATGCCTAACTAAATCACAAAAGGTCAGGCCCTCGGTATTCCTGGTAAATCATTTTATGTTTTATAACTCTTTTATTAGACTACTGAGTTCAATTTACTGAACTTTACTTGGCATGTCTGCATGTATCTTAAATGATACTGGTCTAGATTTTGCTTTTTAGGGATTACCCTCGTCTAAAATTTTATTATTGGGATATCTGCCTCATATATTTGCAGAATGATCCTGCAAAATTTTGTTAGAAGTTATCTATTCTTTAAAATTTTATTTCCAGAAAAACTATCGATTCTAGTTTTTAAAAAACAAGAACATAACTCCATTTAAATTTCCTTTGTTTACAGATCTCATACATTATAAAACTATAAATTATAAAATCTATAAATTATAAATTGTTTCAAATATAAAATAAAATATAAAATCTATAGATTGTTCAGGCTTTCTATAGTCTCTTGAGTCAACTTTGATCATTTTGGTTTCTCTAGATAGCTCATTCTCTATATTTTTATACATACTGAAATATATGTATATAGTAACACATAAATTTAAAAACTTTTAAATCTCTTTGATATATGTACCTATTTCACCATTCCCATACATAAAGCTGTAATTGAATCAACTTTTATCCTTCAATAATAACTGCTGAATCTATATTAATGGTCTTTTCAAAGAGAATATTCTTGGATAAAATCTACTACTTTATTAACTATTCTTTTACTTTTTTAAAAAAAATTTATTTTTTAATTTATTTTTGGCTGCATTGGGTCTTCGTTGCTGCATGTGGGCTTTCTCTAGTTGCAGTGAGCAGGAGCCACTCTTCGTTGCAGTGCGTGGGCTTCTCATTGTAGTGGCTTCTCTTGTTGCGGAGCACAGGCTCTGTGTATGCAGGCTTCAGTAGTTGCGGCACACAGGCTCAGTAGTTGTGGCTTGCGGGCTCTAGAGTGCAGGCTCAGTAGTTGTGGCTAAGTAGTTGGGCTTAGTTGCTCCGCAGCATGTGGGATCTTCTCAGACCAGGGCTCGAAGCCGTGTCTCCTGCACTGGCAGGTGGATTCTTAACCACTGCACCACCAGGGAAGTCCCTCTTCTACTTTTTTTAAATTGTACTTTTACTTTTATTGTATGAATTACTTCCTGCTATTTACCTTAATTAAAAAAAAAAAATGGGGCTTCGCTGGTGGCGCAGAGGTTAAGAATCCGCCTGGCAATGCAGGGAACAGGGGTTTGAGCCCTGGTCCGGGAAGATCCCACATGCCAGGGAGCAACGAAGCCCGCGCGCCACAACTACTGAGCCTGCACTCTAGAGCCATCGAGCCACAACTATTGAAGCCCACACGCCTAGATCCCATGCTCCACAACAAGAGAAGCCACCGCAATGAGAGACCCGCACACCACAACAAAGACTGGGCCCCACTCGCCGCAACTAGAAAAAGCCCGCGCGCAGCAACAAGACCAAACGCAGCCAAAAATAAAATAAATAAATAAATAAATGTTTTCTGGGAATTCCCTGGCAGTCCAGTGGTTAGGACTCCATGCTTTCACTGCTGAGAGCCCGTGTAAAAAACATGTTTTCTGGCTTATGTTAATGCTTTTTTCCCCCAACACTTTTGTCAACTGCCTGCTATGTGACAGGCACGGTATGTGTGGTAACAGAGTCGTGAACTAACTGCTCAATCCAGGTTTTCTAAATGCATTAAGGTTGTTAATTTCCTACAACGTAGAGCTTTGGTGGCTTCCCACAAATTTTTTTTAAATTTATTTATTTATTTTTGGCTGCATTGGGTCTTTGTTGCTATGCACGGGTTTTCTCTAGTTGTGGTGAGCGGGGGCTTCTCATTGTGGTGGTTTCTCTTGTTGCAGAGCACAGGATCTAGGCGCCCAGGCTTCAGGAGTTGTGGCTCATGGGCTCTGGAGCGCAGGCTCAGTAGTTGTGGTGCATGGGCTTAGTTGCTCCGCGACATGTGGGATCTTCCTGGACCAGGGCTTGAACCCGAGTCCCCTGCATTGGCAGGTGGATTCTTAACCACTGCGCCACCAGGGAAGCCCTTCCCACAAATTTTTATCTGTAGGGATCAAATTATCATTTATCACTAAGTAGTCTAAAATTTCAGATTTTCCACTTAGACAAAAGCTTTATTATGGAAGTTTTCAAATATATGCAAAGTAATAAGAATAGCACAGTGAACCCTATGTACCCATTACCCGGCTTCAACGATTTACAGCATTTTTCTGACCTTGTTTCATCTATCCTTCCCATTTTTTCTTTAGTATTATAAAGCAAATCATACATACAATTTCATCCTTGAATACTTCAGTATGGCTCTCTAATGCATAAGGATTTATACACACATACACACACCTACTCCCATGCCATCATCATGCCTAGCAAATGAATAATAATTATTTAATATAATTTAATACCCACTCCAGGTTTACTTTTTCACAGTAATGTAAAAAGTTGTCTTTTTTTTATTTGTCCAAATCAGGATTGTATTGCCTGTATTTTCTTACTTTCTGTATTCTTGATGCTCTGGCATTTGGGGACTTGATCTTGGAGAGACTACCGATTCTAGGGCTAGCAAATTCCTTGACAAATGACCCTCTTGGCAAGCATGCCGTTGATATACAAACCAACCAATCCAAAGTCCACACCCCTTTATCAAACATCTCCTTTATCAAACTCTCATACACCAAGCCATTATTTCTCCTGCCCTAAATCACCCCAGGGCCAGGTACTGGACAACTGAGGACCACCACTGGAGCTCAGAGCCCACAAAATTATTCAATCTACCCAGTCTTAAACTTGCTCAGTGTACCTACCTGGCATCACGTCACCCATTCTTTCCTGGGAAAACTCCAGTAAAGGTTCTGAGTCATGTTCTGCCCTCTTCCGCCTTCTGCCTCCTAACAGGACTAGGTGCTCCTTCCATGTTCTCCTACGTATACTCGGTTCCTCCTGTTTGCAGAAATCTCCGCGTATAAGCGTCTTCCTTCATGATAATCATTTCCATGTCTTCGAGACTTACCATACCTGATTAAAGCAAATCCTGGGTACATTTTAACACAAGCATCTCAATACATTCCATACACTGTATTTAATTAATATGTCTCAAATCTCTTTTAATTTGTAAAATTCTGTTTTTATTAACTTAACATATATTGGTTAAGAAACTAGGCCTTAAAAAAAAAAAAAAGAAACTAAGCCTTTTATTTTGTGGAATTTCCCACATTCTGGATTTGGCTGTTTGCTTCTTTGTGTCATGAATTTTTTCATTTATTTCCCAAGTTTCCTGTAAACTGGTATGTTTAGAGACTAAATTACACTTTTTTTTTTTTGTGGTACGCGGGCCTCTCACTGTTGTGGCCTCTCCCGTTGTGGAGCACAGGCTCCGGACGCGCAGGCTCAGCAGCCATGGCTCACGGGCCCAGCGGTCCACAGCATGTGGGATCCTCCCAGACCGGGGCACGAACCTGTGCCCCCTGCATTGGCAGGCGGACTCTCAACCACTGCTCCACCAGGGAAGCTCTAAATTACACTTCTGAATCAATATTTTGGACAAGAATACTCCACAGGTAGTATACATCCATTGCATTACATCAAGAAGCACACAGCCTTGCTGATTTAATTTAGAGATGTTACTATAGGTTAGCGGGTTGTCATTCTGCTCTGTCCTTTAAAACCTTCGAATAATCTCTCACCTAATGGTTTTCACGTCCACTGATATCATCAAGATCCATTATTTCATAAAAAAAAAGTGTCACTTTTTGGATTCTATCATTCCTTTGACCTTTATTAGCTAGAATTCTCTAATAATAAAGAACTTTCCTTCACCAACTTTTGCTTGTCTTGAAATATAGTTCATAGAGGAAAGGCAGGATAAATGCTCCATTTTCCCCCTTTATTTATTAATAAATGCCCTAATGTGCTCTGTAGCTGGCCAATGCATCTTGTTAGAAAAAAAAAGAAGCTATCACAGGCTACAGTAATCATGATAAAAGGACACAGGATCCAAATTGAGGAGATTCCCACTGGCCAAATATAGGACAATTTGAGCATTTTTTAAAAAGTCTACAATGGGTTTTTAAAAATTGATTCTGGACTTATAATATAGGTGATTTTTAATTTCCAAATAGTTTCTTTTTATCTTATTCTTTGTTAATTTTATTTACTTAACTGAAGTATAGTTGATTTACAATATTGCGTTAGTTTTAGGTGTACAGCACAGTGATTTGGTTACATATACACATGTATATGTATATACAAACATATGGCGTACATATATATATTCATACATACAGTGAATATATATACATATATTCTTTTAAAAAATTATTTTCCATTATAGGTTATTATAAGATATTGAATATAGTGCCCAATGCTATACAGTAAATCCTTATTGTTTATCTATGTTATATATGGTAGTATGTTATCTGTTAATATCATACTCCTAATTTAATTTATCCCCCCCACTTCCCCTTTGATAACCATGTTTGTTTTCTATGTCTGTGAGTCTGTTTTTGTTTTGTATATAAGCTCATTGGTACTATTTTTAGTTTCCACATACAAGTGATACAATATTTGTCTTACTCTGTCTGACTTACTTCACTTAGTATGACAATCTCTAGGTCCATCCATCCTCTGTTAATTTTAAATCAAATTTATACAGAGGCCAGAGAGTATAGATTGTAGAATATATTCTTTTTTATGAAAAAATTGAAAAAGGATTTCTCACTTTCACTATTTTAACAAGAGTAAGTTATCTGACATTCAATAATGGATGAGTGTTGGTGGAAGGCATTTCCATATTCAATGTGCCCATAGTCATTCATATGGATTTTCAAGAGAGCAATATTAATGATGATAATAGTAAAACAATAGTTAGTAGCTTAAAACAACAACCATTTAATTGTATCTCATGATTTTGTGGGTCAAGAATTTGGGCAGGGGCTCAGTTGGTGGATTTTTCTGTTCTATATGGCATCAACTGAGGTTATTCACTGGCATTGAGTTGATGGCTGGTTTGGAGGATCCAAAACTATTTCACTCAGATGTCTGGTGTTTTTATGGGCAATCTGGAAGACTGGGCACAGCAGAGCGCCTCTCCTTCTCTAGGTAGTCTCAGGGCCTTTCCAGGTGGTCTCTTCAGCAGAGTAGCCAGACTTTTTAACATAACAGTTCAGGTCTGAACTTGAGAGAGTATTCCAAGAGATGAGGCAAAATCTACCAGTAAAGTCTGGGTCCAGAAACTAGCACAGCAGTACTTCTGCTATTCTACTGATCAAAGTAGTCACAGTCTGCCCAGATTCAAAGGGAAAAGGATGTGGATTCCACATCTTGATGGGTGGAGTACCAAAGAATCTGCAGTAATCTTTATTCTGCCACAGTATTATAATTTTATAAATCAAGAACTTATAGCATCAAGCAGTTAAACATCCTGTTCAATATAACACAGGTAGGAAAGTGATGGGCTAGAAATGATGATAAGTGTCTTTCCCACATTTGTTATATTAATAGGATTAGTTTCTAGAATGAATGTGAAGATTCTCAGGTCTGAGTGATGGTGGAATATATTAAATTAACACATTCTTTATAATGACATAAACCCCGTTATGCCAAGTCAGGTGCATGGAGGAAGCAAAAGGAACTAATTACTACATTCATAGACTAAAAAGTCTTTCTTATATTTTTACATTATGAATTTTCAGATGATGGGTAAGGTGTGAATGTTGTCTAAAGGCCTTTTTACATTCCTTACATTCATAGGGTTTCTCACCAGAATGAATTCTCAGATGCTGAATAAGAGATGAATTAAGCCTAAAGGCCTTCCTACATTCCTTACATTCAAAGGGTTTTTCACCAGTATGAATGCTCTGATGTAGAGTAAGTTTTTGGCGCAATCTAAAGGCCTTCCCGCATTCCTTACATTTATACGGTTTCTCACCAATATGAATACTCTGATGTTGTGTAAGTTGTGAGAGTAGTCTAAAGGCCTTCCCGCATTCCTTACAGTCATAGGGTTTAACACCAATATGAATACTCTGGTGTGAAATAAGTTGTGAGTAACGACTAAAGGCCTTCCAGCATTCCTTACATTCATAAGGTTTCTCACCAGTATGAATTCTGTGATGTAGAATAAGATGATAACCACGACTAAAAGTCTTTCCACATTCCTTACATTCATAGGGTTTCTCACCAGTATGAATTCTCTGGTGGAGTGTCAGTTGCTGTCGTACTCTAAAGGCCTTCCCACATTCTTTACATTCATAGGGTTTCTCACCAGTATGAAGTTTGTGATGTACCCTAAGGCCAGAGCCACACAAAAAGGCCTTCCCACATTCTTTACATTCATAGAGTTTGTCAGCAATATTAAGCTTCTGATGTCGAGTAAGGTGTGCATACTGTCTAAAGGCCTTCCCACATTCTGTACATACATAGGGTTTCTCACCAGTATGAATCCTCTGATGTAGAGTAAGTTGCCCACGAACTCTGAAGGCTTTCCCACATTCTTTACATTCATAGGGTTTCTCACCAATGTGAATTTTTTGATGTACTCTAAGGTCTGGGCCACATATGAAAGATTCTCCACATTCCTTACATTCATAGAGTTTTTCACCAGAATGAAGTCTCTGATGTCGGGTAAGATGTGCCGTCTGTCTAAAGGCCATCCCACACTCCTTACATTCATAAGGTTTCTCACCAGTATGAATTCTGTGATGAAAGGTAAGTTGTTGGCGTACTCTAAAGGCCTTCCCACATTCCTTACATTCATAGGGTTTCTCGACAAAATGAATTCTCTGATGTGAAGAAAAAGATGAGTGTTTTTGGTAAGAGGACACTTTTTGAGATGTAATTTTCACTTGATTGAAATATTCCTCTTGTCCTTCAAATTTTCTTTTGGACTCCCAATCATTTTTTAAAATGAGTCTGTTAAGGCCATGGTTTTTAATTCTCTCCATTACCTTCCACTGGGATAAGTTTATTTCATGAATGTCATTTTCTGAAGATAACTTCTTGGTCTCATAGTTGGTCTCCAAATCTGAAAGAAAACAAGAGAGCAAACATGTAGTTCTCTTTTTCTAAAAGAAGTAAAATTTCTACAGCAGAAGTAAAAGACAACCAAAGTACTACCCAATGAAATTCTAAAAATAGTTACATAATTAAAAAAAGCAAAAGGCAACCCAGGAAAATGAGAGTTCATGCAGGAAAATGAGATTAGTGACTAAGTAAATATTTTAAGTCAGTGGTTCTCAAACTGAAACGTGAATCAGAATCACAAGGGAGCTTGTTACAAATACTATGATTTAGATACCACCTAAACCACTTGGATCAGATTCTACAGTCCTGGGCAGTCCTATATTTAATATTCTCCATACGATGATTTTGATGGAAATGAAAGGTTGGGAATTCATGCTTAAATTCTTTCAACAATTTCTCTTTATTCTTAGAATAAAATCAAACTTGTTAAAAGACCTCTGCTTACCTATAATGCATCATCTCAAACCACTGTTCTCTTTACTGCTACTTGGAGAGGCCTCTTTTCAGATCTTAGAACATGTTCCCACTTACTTCCATTGGACTTTTCAGTCTGCTCTATTTCCCCACAAATCTTCTGTTTGGGCTCTTTGCATGGCTGGCTCCTTCTCACTCTGAGGTCTTAGATTAAGTTACTTACTCTACAGCTGAATCTACTGACAGTACTTAAAGCTATGTGTTTATTATACAGTTGACCCTTGAATAACACAGGTTTGAACTGTGCAGATCCACTATACATGGACTTTTTCCAATAAATATACAAACATATATGTGTAGAACATCGTGTGCAAGACTTGTATTGAAGTGGATAACCTATCCTTACATAGGCATAAGATGAGTGATATTTAGTATAAAATTAATAATGTGTTACCTTTCTTACTGTTTTACAACTTTGCTTTCAAAGAATTACATTACTATATAGTGTGCTTCTGTCTCTTGTGACTGGATAAACTGCATATCAGCCTATCATCACAGGTAAGTGGTTTTTAAAAACATGTAACAACGTTTCCAATACTGTTTTATAAATGTGACTGTAATATTGTATGCCATAAAAGTTTTATGCTGATTCACTCATTACTGTATAGGCTAGGCTACCGTGAAGCATTCATATCGATTACACTAGGTTACCGTAAAGCAATCATATTGCTGCTTCTTCATTACCAATGCATAAGTCATTATATCTGTAAATAAATATAAAATTTTTTCACATTATCTTTTCATTTCTGATGTCCAGTGTTAGTAATACATATAATATGTAATGTGTTTATCATATAGGACAATACTGATGTAGGTACTGACAGAAAATTTATCTTATATACAGACAACATAAACTTATGGTATCAATAAATACAGTACAGTACTGTAAATGTATTTTCTCTTCCCTGTGATTTTCTTAATAACATTTTCTTTTCTCTAGCTAACTTTATTATAAGAATACAGTATATAATATATCTAACATATGTGTTAATCGACTATTTATGTTATTGGTAAGGCTTCCGGGTCAACAATAGGCTAATAAGTAGCTAAGTGTTGGGGGAGTCAAAAGTTACATGTGGGGACTTCCTTGGTGGTCCAGTGGTAAAGAATCTGCCTTCCAACGCAGGGGACACAGGTTCAATCCCTGGTCAGGGAACTAGCATCTAAGCCCGTGTGCCACAACTACTGAGCTCATACACCTCAAAAAGAGAGCCTGCATGCCACAAACTACAGAGCCCACGCGTCACAACTAGAGAGAGAAAACCCCCATGCCACAGCTAGAGAGAAGCCCGCATGCCACAAAGAAGACCCAATGGAGCCAAAAAAATAGAAATAAAATAAATAAATAAAATAAATATATTTTTAAAAGTTATATGTGGATTTTTGCATATGCTGGGGGGCAACACCCTAAACCCTGTGTTGTTCAAGGGTTAACTGTATATCTGCATAGTTATTATACATATATTACATACAACATAGAGCTATGTTGAAATTATCTATTTATTAATTTTTCCAATTGTTATTCTGCTTATTTTCTTACCCCTAAACCTCATTAAGGGCAGAAACAATCCCTGCTTTACTCTCTATTCAATAATAAATCCAGAGCACAAAATAGATTTCACTCATTTAATTCCTATACTTATATATTTATTCTGAATATATTTCTCGGCCTCTAACCTCTCACATCTTACTACAATGATTAAATACCTCCTTTATTCATTCAAGCTAGCCCAGCTGACTATATAAATGAAAAATGGTGGTTGTATTTTCCTGTACATCCTTCCATTGTTTATACCCTTATTTATGCAGTATTCTCTACATTGCCATTCCCTCCTTCACATAGCTACGGGTTGCTCTTTCTTTGTCTCCATATCACAACAAAGACACTGAGAAACTTACGTACTTCAGCTCCCTTTAAGCTTATTCTACTACTCATCCATTTTGCAAATGCTCAGTGGGCTTTGTTCCTTCATCCCCTTTTTCTGGTCTCCTCCCTTCTGTCCCCTCAGAGGCAAGACCATTCCTTATTTCCTAGAAATGTGACTTTCAGACAGGAAAACATGTTTATACCTTATTGAAGTTTATGAAATCCTTAGCAAAAAAAAAAAGACGTAATTTGTAAGTAACTCACTAATAGGGTCAAAGGGTTTTGCAATAACTTGAGTGTGAAGAACTTGCTAACAAAGGTCATGATAGATGTAAACCAGAGGATGGTAAGCCAGGAGGAGAAATAGCCAGAGGGGAATTTAAGTGCTGAATAAGCTGTGTATGAGAGAGAAAAATGATGATGTTTTCAAGTATTATAATATAGTCTGTATAAGAAAACTGAAATCATATAGGTTCTACTAAAACTGGAAATTAATAATAACAACAAAAAAGTAAATCCACTTGGAATTTTAGAAGTCTATGTTAAATAACTCTTAGATCAATAGAGAAATAAGATCCCAAATGGTATTTGTTTAAAAAAAACAATAGTAGCAATAAAAAAAAACTACATTAAATTACCTGTAAAACTATAACCACAGTGCGTAGAAGAAAATTCAAAAACTTAAATACATGGGACTTCCCTGGTGGCGCAGTGGTTAAGAATCCACGTGCCAATGCAGGGGACACGGGATCGATCCCTGGTCCAGGAAGATCCCACATGCCACGGAGCAAATAAGCCCATGCGCCACAACTACTGAGCCTGCACTCTGGAGCCTGAGAGCCACAACTACTGAAGCCTGCGTGCCTAGAGCCCGTGCTCTGCAACAAGAGAAGCCACTGCAATGAGAAGCCTGTGCACCGCAATTAAGAGTAGCCCCCTCTCAGCGCAACTAGAGAAAGCCTGTGCACAGCAATGAAGACCCAATGCAGTCAAAAATAAATAAATAAATAAATTTATTTTTAAAAATATCTTAATACATACAGCAAAAAAAGAAAGAAAAAATTAACTAAAAATCCCACTCAAAAATATTAGAAAAGCAAGCTGAAGCAAAGCAGAAAAAAGAAATTAACTATATAAAAGCAGAATTAGAATAGTTAGAAAACAGAAAAAAAGAACTAACACACAAAGTAAAACCAGATTCTTTTTTTATAAATGAATCAGCAAAACAGATAACCATTAGTTAATATAATAAAAATAGCAATAAATAAATAAATAAATAAAAATAGCAAGAACGCACAGATGTAGAAATTTTAAAATGGCAAAGTGAAAATAATCGTGATTAAATACAGAACATAGTTGGAAGAAAGATTACTTTGCCAATAAGTTTTAAAACACAGCTAAAATGAATAATTTTCTAAGAAAATATAATTTACCAAAACTGACCACAAAAGAGATACAATGTTTCAACAGATTAATTTCCATAAAGCAAACAGAGATTGTAGTCAGACTTACCATCTCCTTCTTCAAGGAAAAAGCTTAAAAATGTTATTAAAGCTTTAAAGAACAGGCCATACAAATTCTGTTTAGACTGAGAACTAGGAAAAAGGAGGACTTCCAAACTATTTTCATGATGTAATAATATCATACTAAATCCTGTTCATAAAAAGAAAACTACACACCAGTTTTCTGAAAACTGATGTAAAAATTCTAAGCATCTAATAAAACAGTGTGTCAAAAGACCCAGTGTTGTTTATTCAAAGAATGTTAAAGAGGTCCAGTATGGGGAAATCTATTAAGATAATTCAACTCATTTAATACAGCTGAGGAAAGGGAAAAATAAAAATCACATGATCGGGGACTTCCCTGGTGGTCCAGTGGCTAAGACTCTGTGCTTCTTATGCAGGGGGTCCAGGTTCTATCCCTGGTCAAGGAACTAGATCCCACATGCTGCAACTAAAGATCCTGCACGTGTCAACGAAGATCCTGCATGCCGCAACTAGGACCTGACACAGCCAAATAAATATATTTTTTAAAATATTTATTTGGCTGTGCTGGGTCTTAGTTGTGGCTCACTGGCTCCTTACTTGAGGCATGTGAACTCTTAGTTGTGGCATGCATGCGGGATCTAGTTCCCAAACCAGGAATCGAACCTGGGACCCCTGCATTGGGAGCTTGGAGTCTTAACCACTGCACCACCAGGGAAGTCCCAATATTTTTTTTTTATTTCACATGATCAACTCCATAGACGCTGAAAAGGCAACTAAAAAAGGGAAACATACCTGATTTTTCAAAAAAGCTCAATAAAGGAGGAAGAATTACCTCCCTAAAATGATAAAATATATAACACCTTAACAAAAAGACAGCTTTGGAGTTATTAGTCAAGACACTTAAATATCAGAAAAAAATGAGCGGTAGTCTTAAGAATTTAAAAGAAGAGATAAAACTGTATTTTCAGATGATAATTCATAATTGGAAAACTTAAGAGGTTTAAATAATATAAACAACAGAATTTAATAAGGTAGGAGGATATAAAAAGCAAAAACTAATAGCCTTTATACATACATTTAATAATAAAATATGATGGAGAAAAAAAAGATTCCAGTCACAACAGTTTCAAGAGCAAACTTAAAATATATATATAACCTTTATGAAGAAAACACTGAAACACTCATGAAGCATCTGGCATTAGATTTTCTAAAGATATCACACACGAAATCACAAGAGGGAGATTACCCTGCACAAGGGGACAGCGGTCTATCAAGGGTGTTCATGCTGAGAAGCTGAGCAGGTATGGAGACAATGGCAAACAACAGGGCAAATTCTGTATTCAAAGTAGCCAGGTATATCGAATCCTGCAGATTATCACCCCTGGGCCAGATAGCAACTTCTGCTGTCTGCCTGCAGAGTAGGCAACAGATATGCGGGCTAGGGCATGAGAGACAGGCCAGTGGCTGGTCACGTCCAGGGGATATGGCCCCCTCCACAGGCCCAGTTGACAAAGCACTCGTATCTCACAAGAGTTAACTGTGTTTGTTCCAAACAAGTTTAGGCCAGTTTCACATTTTCCTGAAAGTACCCAATTTAATTAAACAATATGTAAACTTATAAGTAACTATGAGAAGAGATTGGTTCTATGAAAATGAAATTGAATACTTTAGAAAAACTGGTTGTAAATACATTGTTAAAAATCATGGCTAACAGGGACATCCCTGGCGGTCCACTGGTTAAGACTCCGTGCTCACAATGCAGGGAGTACAGATTTAATTCCTGGTCAGGGAACTAAGATCCTGCATGCCACATAGCACAGCCAGAAAAACAAAAAACAAAACATGGCTAACAAAAACTAAGTGTGGGAGGGACAACAGTAAAAGATGGGGAAAACATAATAATCAAGAAGTGTTCTGTACTTGTTGCAAATTTGGTTCTTGTTCTACTTAAAAAATTTTTAACTAGAAATAGTAATAGACTATAAATTGTATGTGTGGTTTAGATGAAAAATTAAATAAGAGACACAATGGAAAGAAAGCCTTAGACACATCAAAAGTATTGACAAAGAGCTACATTTTAATGTTGAGAGTAAAAATATTACTTCTATGGTATGTACATAAAATATCTAACCCTTTTTTATGAATAAACAAACCAAATACCAGTCCCAGTTCTGTTGGACCAAAGAATTTCTATTCTACTACACAATGCTGATGAGAATATAGAAAAATATAAGCCCTTTCTTTGACCAGTTAAAAATATATAAATATAAAAAATCACAAATGTGATTCCCCCGTTTCAGAGAACCAGCTTTAATTAAATGGAAAATGTCACATAAATTACCTGAACTTAGTACTTAGTCTGTTTAGGCATTTTATTATTAACCACCTTGCTTTGTTGATACAAGACTAGGATATAGAAGATTTGGTTCCAAGGTAATCCTATTTGCATTTCAACACTGTGGACAGAGTACAAAGATCTGAAAATAATAAAACCTAACATCCGAGGAACTGTACTTCTGAAGTATCAATTTTAGTCACATCCTGAATAAGGCCATAGTGAATGCTACCATTGAATAATCCTCATTCTATTCATGATCATCTTTCTGATTTCACTGAGGAAATAACAATAGAAGAATATGCTGTCCTCTCTCCACTACCCAGACCAACTTACTTGCATTCATAACTACATTGTTTTCCCTTTAATTCTCTCTTGTTCCCTGGATCCTATCCCCTTCCTCCACTCCCACCTCAAGGACACTGCTTCCAAATTTATGCTCTCTCTACTGCATCAATTTCCCCCACCTACAGAATCATTCCCATGGGCACACAAACATGGTCTATAATTGCACACCATAAACTACACTGCTTATAACCCAAATCCCCAGTGTAACTACCAACTCCATTTCCCAGCTTCCCTTCATACATACTTCTTCCAGAGTTGTCTTACACCCATCTCATCACTGCCTTACCTACTCTTTTTTTCTTTTTTTTTGCGGTACGCGGGCCTCTCACTGTTGTGGCCTCTCCCGTTGCGGAGCACAGGCTCCGGATGCGCAGGCTCAGCGGCCATGGCTCACGGACCCAGCTGCTCCTCGGCATGTGGGATCTTCCCAGACCGGGGCACGAACCCGTGTCCCCTGCATCGGCAGGCGGACTCTCAACCACTGCGCCACGAGGGAAGCCCTACCTACTCTTATTAAGTCACTCCAATCAGGTTTTCACCCTGACTCCACTAAAATCACTCTTGACAAGGTCACCAGCATTCTCCATCTTGCCAGAATCTGGGGTCAATTCTCATCCTCATTCTCTGCTCCTTCCATTTTGAAACATTTTCTTTTGTTTTTATCAGTGGCTGCTCCTTCTGCATGTCCTTTGCGGCCCCCTCTTTCTAACGTCTGAATAGGGGAGTATCCCATGAATCAGTCTTTAGGCCTCTTCTCTTTATCTGCTTTCTTCTACCTGCATGTGTTCCTTAGATGAACACATTCAGACCCATGGATTTCAATTTTAACCATAAAGTGAAGACACCCAGATGGACATCAGGCTGTAACCTCTCCCTGAGCTCCATGTGTATATACATATTCAGCTGCCTACTCAGCATCTAAAACTGGAAAAATAAAAGACAATTCAAACTTAAAATATCCAAAACAGAAACTCTCAACGTCTACCTGCCAACCTGCTCTTCCTATCTTCCCTACCTCAGTAAATTGTGCTTCCATTCACCTAGCTTTTCAAGCTAACACCCTTATCTCCTCCTTTGATATGTCTTTCTTACTTACTGCATTTATAAGTCCATCAGCATGTTCTTTTGGGACTCCCTTCATACATAACCTGAGTCTAACAGCTTCTTACTACCTCCTACGGCTGCCAGCTTTATCCAAACCACCATTACTTCCAGTCTGAACTGAAACTGCTTCCACACTGGTCCTTCCTACTTTTGCACTTGACCAGAGGGATCATTTTAAAACAGAAAGCAGACTATAGCTTCCAATTTCTCTTAATGATTATATTATATGGCCCTTGACTAACTCTGACCTCATCTCTTATTACTTTACCTTCCTCTCCCCCATGTTCTAGCCATAATGGCTTTCAAACATGCAAAGCTAACTTCTTCCTTAGGCCTTTTCTATCTGCTCAGAATGCTCTTCCTCTAGAGTCAAATGGCTTGAGCCCTTACTTCACATCTCTCCTCAAATACCGTCTCCTCAAAAAAACCTTCCTTCATTTGTCCACTTTTCTATATGCATTTATACTTCAATAAAACTTAACTAAAAAGAAGAAAGAAACAAAGAAAGAAAAGGAAAGGAAAAAATAATGACCTTGTTTAAGATGTCTAACTTTGAATCAACAGTTGTTATTTTGGCTAAATATTTCCTGACTAAACTGATATTATCTTATTCACTTGGAGCCACTGTATTTCATTATTTTTGTAGTATTAACAGTTGTAAATATCATTTAATCAGATGATAGAAAATAAGTTAGGGTTGGGAAAAACAGCATACTTTTCTTTCCTTTGGTAGAAAGTGAATCAGAATGTATAACCTTATAAACAGTATGGGCACTGAAATGGCTCTGGTGTTACAAAAGAACTTTTAGCCTAAAATGAGTCTCCTCTGTCAGACCTGAATATAACACAGAGCAAAATATAAAGTGACAACATATATCTCTGTATCAAGAGTTTTAAGGATCTTTCTTTAACAAAAGGTCCAAAGAGAGATGAAAATAGCACAGAGGTAGAAGCTAAACCAAGGGATCATTTTCCATATAGTCTATTACATTCATGTTTCTTCCTGATGTGAAGGTAGATATATACATACATGGAAAAAGGTAAATAAAAATGATATTCTGTAAACTAAGGATCTATCTTCTAGAGTAATTCACATGAAACTTCAGTTGCTGATAAAACGTATGATATTATTACCACGTCAAGAACACTCATCTCCATAGTCTTCTATTTCCCATTTTTAATTTTATGAGAAAAGTTAGGGAAGAAAGGCTTTCCTGACCATAACTAAAACAGTTTTCCCATCCCATACCATTCTCTATTCCCTTACTATGCTTACCTTTATTCATAGTACTCCCTTATTACCTAACATTATATTTTCTATTTACTTACTATGTTTCTGTAAATCAGGGTAAATCCTCATAGGGACAGGGATTCTAGTGGTTTTATTTACCACTGTATTCATGGTGTCCAGCATAGTGCCCGGCTCAGAGCCCAGTTGGTCGATAGATCTATCTGTCTGTCTGCCTATCTATCTATACATGCAAAAGAAGAAATCAAAATATAGATAGAATAATATTGGGAACAGAGAGCACCTTTCCATACCTTATGCCCCCTTCAAAGGGGAGGAAAATTAGAGAGAACAACAACAATGAAAAAAGGAGAGTGGTAAATAGGATACAGTAGTACTATGAGTAACCTCAGCTAAGTCCTTAATTTGCTCCCAGGGTCTCAGACCTTTTCTCCTTAGGCCATGGTCTTTCAAAGTGGGTTTTCAAAACAACATCAGAAGGGTGTGCCTCTTCCTTAACTACAGGGAAGTTTTCTCTGGCGGTGGTTTCCCCTACTCTATTGGCCCTCATTTACCTGGATATCGTCTTCTTCCTTTCCTCACTACTTTCCAGGGCTCTTTTCCTTGCTCCAATAAGGAAATCACATCTGGTTTAGAAACAAAGCATCCTGGACAGAAGAAAAGAAATGTAAGGTAACGTGGAAATAAAAAATAAATTCACAATTACTTTGATTCAGTTTTGGTTAAATTTTTAATAAACTATAGGTCAAATGGTAATTGATAAAGACTTTAGAACAAAGAAAAGTGAGGTGATTAAAAAACATCATGTTAATATTACATAAGAAATGGAGATTGCAGAGGGAGGGAAAAGGTCTTATTTTCATTTATATTCACACAAGTACTCCTTTTCTTGAGAGCAATAGTGGTTGACAGACGTCTGGGTTCAAATTTTGCCTTTGCCATAACCCAGTAGTGTGACCTTGGACAAGTTACCACTCTGCTTTATTTTCCTCACCTATAAAATAGGGATAATTATAGTACCTATCGTACATGATTGTTGTGCAGGTTATATTAATATATATCCATATCTAAACATTGCCTAGAATATACACTAAGTGCTACATATATTTTATTAGCTATTATTTATTATAATTGCTTTTTTTTTTTTTTTTTTTGCGTTATGCGGGCCTTTCACTGTTGTGGCCTCTCCCATTGCGGAGCACAGGCTCCGGACGCGTAGGCTCCATATGCGCAGGTTCTGGACGCGCAGACTCAGCGGCCCAGCCGCTCCACATGTGGGATCCTCCCGGACCGGGGCACGAACCCGCGTCCCCTGCATTGGCAGGCAGACTCTCAACCACTGCGCCACCAGGGAAGCCCCTATAATTGCTTTTTTTAACATCTTTATTGGAGTATAATTGTTTTACATTGTTGTGTTAGTTTCTGCTGTATAACAAAGTGAATCAGCTATACGTATACTTGTATCCCCATATCCCCTCCCTCTTGTGTCTCCCTCCCACCCTCCCTATCCCACCCCTCTAGGTGGTCACAAAGCACCGAGCTGATCTCCCTATGCTATGCAGCTGCTTCCCACTAGCTATCTAATTTACATTTGGTAGTGTATATATGTCCATGCCACTCTCTCACTTCGTCCCAGATTACCCTTCCCCCTCCCTGTGTCCTCAAGTCCATTCTCTATGTCTGCATCTTTATCCCTGTCCTGCCCCTGGGTTCATGAGAACCTTTTTTTTAGATGCCATATATATGTGTTAGCATACGTTATTTGTTTTTCTCTTTCTGACTTACCCTGTATGACAGACTCTAAGTCCATCCACTTCACTACAAATAACTCAATTTCATTTCATTTTATGGCTGAGTAATATTCCATTGTATATATGTGCCACATCTTCTTTATCCATTCATCTGGCGATGGACACTTAGGTTGCTTCCATGTCCTGGCTATTGCAAATAGTGCTGCAATGAACATTGTGGTACATGACTCTTTTTGAATTATGGTTTTCTCAGGGTATATGCCCAGTAGTGGGATTGCTGGGTCATATGGTAGTTCTATTTTTAGTTTTTTAAGGAACCTCCATACTGTTCTCCATAGTGGCTGTATCATATAATTGCTATTTTAATGAGAGGAAAATAAGAAGTTTCCTGAGACATTTACTGTTTTTTCTTAGGATATTCATACAGTGTTACATGCAAAGTTCTTGGATTTTTAACTTTTAATCATAAAAGTAGGTTGGAGTGAATATGTTTGTTTACTAACATAAGACATGAGTTCTCTTGAACTGTAAATAAATCCGGTTGATACCACTTACCACTAAAAAAATTATGTGTTCATCTGAGAGTCAGAGAAAAACCAAGATATAAGGTCTAGCTATTTTCCTTATAGGTATACCAACAAATAACAAAACACCTATAGCAATTCCAAGTTCAGATACAAAGTGAAGCCTGCTTTCTTTGACACAGATTTCAAACCGAGTCCTTTCATCATTAAGGAAGACCTGAAGGCCACATAAGGATGGGCAAGATGAATACGCTTAGTGAAGGTGCTCACTTCCCAACAAAAAGAGCTCAAACCATTCCCTTGAGAACAGGGAGCAGAAATTTAGATAGTTTCTTGAAAGATATTCCTGAAATTTCTAGAGAAGAAAGCTAATTTTGCAGAGAACAGAGTCTAAATTTCTAGAGGCAGATAACCTTACCCAATGAGACCAAGTTGCTGTAGTTCTCCAACATTACATCTCTATACAAATCCCTCTGTTCCAAGTCCAGGTAGTCCCACTCCTCCTGAGAGAAATCTATGGACACATCACTGAACATCACTGATCCCTGAAATGACAAACCATACAACTGAAATTAAAGAATATTTGTTTTAAGATGGGAGAAAAAAATGGAAGAGATACTGCAGGAAATGGATCATAAAGCAAGCAAACAGGCTTGGGCTGGAAGCCCGTAACACAGTAGTTAGGAAATGAGTGTGCTTGAAGCAGGATGCCTATATGTTCCTGAAGGATCCTGTTGCTACAGATACAGCCTCTTGTATACTCTAGCATATCTTAACTATCCAAACACATCTGGGAAATAAATAATCAGTATGTATGCATGTATTTATGTATGTATGTATTTATTTATGCTGTGCCAGGTCTTAGTTGTGGCATGCAGGATCTTTAGTTGCAGTATGCAGACTTCTTAGTTGCAGCATGCGGACTCTTAGTTGCGGCATGCATGCGGGACCTAGTTCCCTGACCAGGGCACAAACCCGGGCCCCTTGCACTGGGAGCGTGGAATCTTACCCATTGGACCACCAGGGAAGTCCCTCAGTTTTCTAATTAAATGAAATACTGTGTATAAGCCTTCTGTCTGTTGTATGTCTCCCTCACAAATTCTCAAAATATGTGTTCTTCCACCCTTTCCCCTTAAAGAACAAGATTTTTTAAAAAAAGTTTTCCTATGATATCTCTATGTTGGAAAAGGATCTGAATACAATTAAAACTTTCTTCCAAGTTCACCATTGAATCAGATCATAAACATTTCCCCATTTATGACAAATTCTTTTATGAAATTTAAAAAATTGGTTGTATAATAGTCTATGCAATAGATATCTGCATGATCTTATCTATCATTTTCCATCCCTCACTGTATGCATTCATTATTCCCGAGTTAGAGGATATTGATGTAGATTCTGGATACTGGTGATCCAGAATCACAAAGATGTCATTCTAGACTAGCTCATCCAGTTCCAATATAAATGGTATACAACTCTTAGGGATTTCCAGAGAAGATACTTGAGCTCCCTGCATACAAGACCCAACCATAATCCTACCTAGTCCTAAAAGCCTCATAAAGCATGAGATCTCACCATGTACTGAGGCTGAGGTCAACCAACAGCAAATCTTACCTACTTGGAAAACTCAAGTTTGGAAAAAATTTAGCGATTTCCCATGAGCAGTCAAATGGGCCCATACTCTCTCAACTACTCAAAAGAGATGGTGAAATGTCTCCCTAAAGGGATTTCATTTCTGCTCCACTGCAGCTTTTAGCAGAAGACTGAGCACATATAACAGATGCTGAATGATTTGTTCAATGAATACATGAACAATGACTGGAAAAAAGAGGACTCACAAGGAGGGCATTGTACTATTTATTTGGCCTCATCTCTCACTGGATTTGGAGGAAATGGGTCCTTAGATGGGGCTCTGATAAGTAAGAAGTTTCAGGATAAAGAAAAGTTTATAGGAACTTAACTTCCAGAAGGTGAAAGAAACAGCAACTTACATGGGCCATGGTTTAGAAATTCAAGAACTGGTCAGTCCTCCTTGGGGTTTACTTGCCTGGAGAAGCACAGTTCACAGAGGCCAGAGCTAGGGGGAGAAAAAGGGGGCCATGAGATAGGCCTCAGAACTCTCAAAATGACTCAGTTTAATATATTCTTTCCCCTCCCTGGACCTCCCCACCACACACACACACACACACACACACACACACACACACACGGAAATCTGAGGAAGTATGGACAAATCTAATCCCTACTTATAAATTTCAGGGCTGATAAGGGACCACATCATCTAAACCAGAATCTCTTTCAAAACCTCACAAGCCTGCTTAAATTAAACAGATACAAAGAGAGAAATCCATAGGACCAATGCTAGCAGCCGTTACCACTGAGAAATTACTGCACTGGCAGCCCTGCCTGCCTGCAGTCAGAACAATAACTTCCAGAATCCTCTGGGCTCATAACTATTTTCAATCAGAATCATCCACATTGCTTTCCTGGATGACTTCATCTGTCATTCTGTTTCTTACAACCTAGGCTGAAGAGGTGTGAATTCATGTTGTCAGCAGTTAGACAATAACATATATCTATTTATCAAGACTTTTCACAAGAAAATGAAATAAAAGGCATCCAAACTGGAAAGGAAGAAGTAAAACTATCTCTATATTATATATAGAAAATCCTAAGGACCCCACAGGAAAACTGTTAGAATAAAAGAATTCAGTAAAGTTGCAGGATACAAAATCAATTTACAAAAATCAGGTGCATTTATATCTACTAATAATGAACTATAAGAAAGAGAAATTAAGAAAACAATCCCATTTATAATTGCATCAAAAGAATAAAATAACTAGGAATATATTTAACCAAGGAGGTTAAATAGACCTGTACACTGAAAACTATAAGACACTGATGAAAGAAACTGAAGATGATGCAAATAAATAGAAAGATATTCAATGTTCATAAATTAGAAGAATTAATATTGTTAAAATGTCCATACTGCCCAGAGCAATCTACAGATTAAATGCAATCTCTATCAAAATTCCACTGGAATATTCCACAGAACTAGAACAAACAACCCTAAAAGTTGTATGGAACCACAAAAGGCCCCAAATAGCCAAAGCAATCTTGAGAAAGAAGAAAAAATCTGGAGGCATCATGCTTCCTGATTTCAAACTATATTACAAAGCTACAGTAATCAAAACAATATGATATTGCCCCCCCTGCAAAAAAAAAAAACAGCTATATAGGTCAATGGAACAGAATAGAGAGCCCAGAAATAAAACCCATGTGTACATGATCAATTAATTTACAAAAAGGAGCCAAGAATATACAGTGGGAAAAGGACAGTCTCTTCAATAAATGGTGTTGGGAAAACCAGACAGCCACATGCAAAAGAATGAAACTGGACCACTATTTCATACCATGCACAAAAATGAACTCAAAATGGATTAAAGACTTGAATGTTTAAGACCTGAAACCGTAAAACTCCTAGAAGAAAACGCAGGAGGTAAGTGCCTAGACATAGGTCTTGGTGATGATTTTTTGACACTAAAAGTAAAGGCAACAAAAGCAAAAATAAACAAGTGGGACTACATCAAACTAAAAATCTTCTGCACAGCAAAGGAATCATCAACAAAATGAAAAGGCAACCTACTGAATAGGAGAAAATATTTGCAAATCATATATCTAATAAGGGATCAATTCCAAAATATATAAAGAACCCATACAATAGCAAAAAAAAGAATCTTGATTAAAAAATGGGCAGATCTAAATAGACATTTTTCCAAAGAAGTCATAACAGATGGCCAGCAGGTACATGAAAAGATGCCCAACATCACAATTGTCAGGGAAATGCAAACCAAAACCACAATGAGATATCATCATACACCTGTTAGAATGGCTATTATCAAAAAGACAAGAAATAACAAATGTTGGCAAGAATGTGGAGAAAAGGGAACCTTTGTGCACTGTTGGCAGGAATGTAAATTGGTACAGCCATTATGGAAAACAGTATGGAGGTTTCTCAAAAAATTAAAAATAGACCTACCATATGATCCAGCAATTGCACTACTAGGTATTTTCTGAAGAAAATGAAAACACTAATTTGAAAAGATTTATGCATCCCCATGTTCACTGCAACATTATTTACAACAGCCAAATTATGGAAACAACCTAAATGTCCATCGATGGATTAATTGATAAAGAAAATGTGAAACACACACACACAGGAATATTATTCAGCCATAAAAAGTATAAAAGTTTGGCGTGGTTGGGGTTGGTGGCTGACTTCGCGGGCGCACGCCCTGGCCCACCGGCCGGATGGATTTGGACCTCCTGCGAAGGAAGGCCGGCCGGGGACGTGTCTCCCGCCGGGCGGAAGGGGCGGGGGCGAGGTGTGTGCATTGCCGCTTCTGCCCCCACCCCTTGATTTTATTTATTCAAGAAATAAGGGAATAAAGGGAAATTTGACAAAATACCCTGGCCATTTTCAGAGTTGAAGGCATCCACCAGGGATACTTCTGTCCCCAGCATCTACCCGGGCGGCACAAGTGGCACTGGCTGGAGCCCACCTCGACTCCAGGGGATTATCCCTCGCGCTGGATCAACACCAGCCTCAGGCCTCACCCCCATGTCCCAGCTCCGCCCCTCCCCTGGTCAGCAGTTTGGGTCACCGGCCGTGCTCCTCGACCCTTCTCTGCAGAGGTCACTGAGCGACCTTGGGGCGAGACGGGTGGGCTTATTTTTCAAGGCGGAAGAATACTAAGCGGTTTCAAGATTGCAACTTTTTCAAGAAGGGAAAGTCCCTTCTACTTTGGCCCGTTAAGTTTTTTCTTCTTTTTCAGTAAAATTTATGGTAAGAAAAAAAAAAAAGAATAAAAATTTGCCATTTTCAGCAACACAGACGGACCTTGAGTGCATCATGCTAAGCGGAATAAGTCAGACACAGAAAAACAAATACTGTATAATCTTGCTTATATGTAAAATTAAAAAAACACAAACTCTAACCAAGCTCACAGATACAAAGAACAGATTAGTAGCTTCCAGAGGTGGGGGGATGGGAGGGGTGGAGAGGATGATATGGTTGAAGTGGGGGGGCAAAGGGACAAACTTCTAGTTTTAAAATTAATGTCATGGGTTGTAATGTATAGCATGGTGATATAGTTTATATATATATATATAATATAGTATTGCATATTTGAAAGCTTCTAAGAGAGCAGTTCTTATCACAAGAAAAAGAAAATTGTAACCATGCATGTCTACAGATGTTAACTAGACTTACTGTGATCATTTTGCAATATATGCAAATATCAAATCATTATGTTGTACACTTGAAATTAAAACAGTGTTCTATGTCAATTATACATCAATTAAAAAAAGAAGAGGAAAAAAAGGACTTCTATATGATAGGTATTTTATATGTTAATTGTATCTGCAGGATTGCTATGTAGTATCGTAATTATCCTATCTATGCAATGGATCAGAAAATTCACACTAAAAGAAGTGAAATCACTTGCAGAAATTCAGTTAATAAGTAGCAAAGCTGCATTTGAAATCCTTATTTTTCTAACCACAAAGTCAGCTCTCTTTCACCTCTAGCTCTTGCCCCTGAAACCCAGAATCTCTTGTCCCAGTGAGAGAAACATGAGGAGGTATGACTCACTAAAACATAGAAATAACACATCAAATTACCTAAAGATATTAAACCTCATTTTAAGAGTACTGATGTCCATATTAGCAAGCCTATAAGGATATGAACATTCTAACCTGTAGACTGCACAAAATTTAAAGTAGGTACAAGCAGCATTTAAACCATGAAAACCCTTTGATGCAGAAATTCTAACTTATGGGATTAAAGAAAATATTAAATAATTGTATATATGGACAAAAATGTAAAAGTGTGCTGACAGACATTATTCCTAGGGGAAAAAAGCTTTCCAGAACTGAAGCATCCTTCAGTAGAAATAGATTTAATAAATTATAAAGCATCCATAGAGTGAAAAAACTTTCCATTTAAAAATTATGATGTAGGGCTTCCCTGGTGGTGCAGTGGTTAAGAATCCACCTGCCAATGCAGGGGACACGGGTTCAAGCCCTGGTCCGGGAAGATCCCACATGCCCCAGAGCAACTAAGCCCGTGCGCCACAACTACTGAGCCTGCATGCCTAGAGCCCGCGAGCCACACAAGAAAAGCCCCCGCAATGAGAAGCCTGCACACCACAATGAAGAATAGCCCCCACTCGCCACAACCAGAGAAAAGCCCACACGCAGCAACGAAGACCCAATGCAGGCAATATAAAATAAATAAATTTTTTAAAAAATTTTAATAAATAAAAATACAAAAATTAAAATTATGATGTAGATCTTTAATAGGAAAGATGGAAATATGTTTACTACATGTTGCTGAGTGAAGAATGCAGGTAACAACAGTTGTGAGTACTGTGATCCTGTCATGGCAGGTAAAAACACCTATATGTATCTATATATTCATGTATGTGCAAAGTAATCACTAAATGCTAACCTTTATTATTAAAAATTTTTTTCGATTGAGGCATAGTTGATGGAAAATATTATATAAATTTAAGCTTTAGAAAGTACACAGACATACAAAATATTCAAGATATGCAGTCTTTAGAAAAATAAAATGAAATGTTATTATAATTATATTTGTAAAGTATACATATATATTGGCATAAAGAGGTACTAACAAGCATCAACACACAGAAAAAAATCTGCAAAGATTGCTATTTCTACATTTTTTCTTCTTTTTGCTTACATGTACTAATTTTCTTCTTTTTGCTTACATGTACTTCATAATTTTCTTTTTTGCTTACATGTACTTCATAATTTTCTTCTTTTTGCTTACATGTACTTCATAATTTTATATGGCCATATATACCCTTGAAATATATATATATTTTAAAATTTTATAAACAGGAACTTCTTCTTCAAGTAGGTGAAAGAGATTTTTTAAAGCAGTCATCCCTTGAACCTGGAGGAAAAAAGCTGCTATTTTTTCATTTATTTCAGCTCCCAATATCTGAACCAACTCTATGATTTCTAAGTTTCTGCTGCCTCTCATAACTTTTTTTTTTTTTTTTTTTTTTTCTCTCATAACTTTTTGACTGATGAACTTATCTTGGTTCTGAATTAGTCATTTTAGTCACGATGCCCTCCAAAGAGCTAATGAATTGTCTTTCTTCTGTTGGTCTCGCCCTGCATCAACGTCATGAGGAAAAAATAAACTGTGAGACAAAGCTTATTACATAAAATCCAATGACCTCCACAGAAATCTGATGGGTTTGGTACTATTTGGTCACAACCTGATAGTGCTTGCTATAATCAGATGATGTCTCCTTTCCAGGAACTCCCAAGCCATGCCATCAGACTTCTTCATTGACTTTATTTTAGTCTTACTCCTGTAGAGGTTTATCTACCTTGATAGATAAAAAGCAACTTAAGGATTTTAGTTACTGTATTTTCCCCAAGCACTAGCACAGGATCTGGCATGATATGAGTTCTTTTTAAATGTCTGATAATTTAACCTAGAAATTCCAATTCTAGGAATTTATCCTTAGGGAATATTTGTAAAAGTATACACAAAGGAGTATATGCAAGGAAGTTCTTCAAAGAATAATTTATAACCAAAAGAATACCTAACAATAGTCAACAAGCTAAATAAATTATGTTCCACTGTATGATGGCATATTATACAATTATTAATAAAGATGATACTGGTTCATATTAATTAATGAAGAAAGATATCCATGATAAACTGCCAAGTACACTAGGCAGACTAAAAAGAATATGCACAATGTTGGGAGGTGATTGACTCTCACATATGAAAAACACAGGCTTTGTTGTCAGGATCCAGTATGTGAATCTAAGCTCTGACAGTTATCAACTAGGAGGCTTTGGACACGTTACTAATTTTCAGTGCCTCTGTTCCCTCATAGAAAAACTGGAGAATAATAACAGTATCTAGGGGACGTCCCTGGTGGTCCAGTGGTTAAGACTTCGCCTCCCAATGCAGGGGGTACAGGTTCGATCCCTGGTCAGGGAGCTAAGATCCCACATGCCTGGAAGCCAAAAAATGAAAACATAAAAACAGAAGCAATACTGTAACAAATTCAATAAAGACTTTAAAAATGGACCACATCAAAAAAATACAGTATCTATCTTATAGGGTTGTTGTGAACCGTTAATATAAAGAACTTAAAGCAGCTTATTATAAGCACTGAATAAAATGAAAAACATGACATGTCCATTCTATTTATTAAAGAAAATTATCTTTAACAATTTTTAATTAAAAATTTTAAATTTTTGATAAATCATCTCTAATAATTTTTTTTTAAGGAACATTTATTTTTTGGCCGCATTGGGTCTTCATTGCTACGTGCAGGCTTTCTCTAGTTGCGGTGAGTGGGGACTACTCTTCGTTGCGGTGCGCGGGCTTCTCATTGCGGTGGCTTCTCATGTTGCGGAGCATGGGCTCCAGGCGCGCGGGCTTCAGTAGTTGTGGCACGCAGCCTCAGTAGCTGTGGCTCATGGGCTTGGTAGTTGTGGCTCGCGGGCTCTAGAGCGCAGGCTCAGTAGCTGTGGCGCACGGGCCTAGTTGCTCCACGGCATGTGGGATCCTCCAGGAGCAGGGTTCAAACCCGTGTCCCTTGCACTGGCAGGTGGATTCTCAACCACTGAGCCACCAGGGAAGCCCTCTAATAATTTTAATACTAGCATGCCCTTTCTCTTTTTTCTTAACAGTAAATTTTTTGAGATTTTCACAACTGGCCTTTCTTAACAGCATCAATAAATTTTAGAACTAGGCTTAAGAAAGTAATTAACAAAAATCAATGCCTCCATAACTAAAAAGTGTAAATTCTTGAAAAGTTTTTCAAATTAGAGGGGAACCATTGCACTCCCCTTTACCCTGTATAGGCATAACAATATAATAAATCTTATGACTGCACTGGATTGCTTTTTCATAGTGTTGGAGAGTCTTTATCTTTTTAAATAACCAATTTTTATGATTCTATTTTGCAAACCAAACATATATACACAAGTGCACAAAAAAATATTTGGAAAAACAAACATCAGAATTGTAATATTCATTAACTCTGGATGATGCGACTAAGGGCATTTAAAATTTTTTTCTTAAAACTTCCTTAGGTTCCTGCATTTTTTTTCTTTTTACAATAAACCTGCATGAATTCTATCATCAGAAACAAAAATTAAATTACTATTTCCATACAAATAAAATAGAGTTGGGAGAGGGAGTACCTTCCAGTTGTTAAGAGAAATGTGAGTCATAGGCCTGTGACATGAGAGGGTTCTACACACACACACACACAGACACACACACACGCACACACAAATTAGCATGGCAGAAATAAATAACTGTTCTTTTACTGTTCATCAAAACGATAAGCTATCTTCACAATCCTTCTCCTGTAACTGAACACAATGAAGGTAAACAGCATTCCCAAATTTAGAAAGAGTATACCAAAGCAGACAGAACAGTATTTGGTATGCAACGGATGCTTTACCTCCTCCTTTCTCCACTGAATAACTATTAAATTTTCATATTAGATATATCATTGCAAAATGTCACACAAACCCCTAGTTTATTAAAAGGAATTCATACATAACTAAAAATGTCTTGAGTCATCTTGTTCAAAACTTTAACTATTGCTTAAAATTGATCATTTTACTTCTTTTCCTTCTCATGAGTCAATACCAATGGCATAAAATTGCATCATATGGATGGAATGTGATTTATTTAATAATTTCCTATAATTAGACACATTTTAATTGATCTTATCTTACCTTATTTTATTTATTTTTGGCTGCACCACGCAGCTTACAGAATCTTAGTTCCCTGACCTGGGATTGAACCCAGTGGCCCACGGCAGTGAAAGCGTGGAGTCTTAACCACTGGACCCCCAGGGAATTCCCATAGATACTAATTTTATATAGTTCTTATTTCAAAGAACATTCTCAGACATTAGCCTTTGATTCTAGGCCAATGGATCTGAATCTTTTTGGGTCATGTTTGATAATCTCATTAAATTATGCACTTCCTTCCCAGAAAAATGGCATATTATCAACTATTATAATTTCACATACAATCTCAAAGGGTTTCTGGTAAAGTGAAAGCCCCAAATGGATTTAAATTACCACTAGTTAAGAATTCCTATTCAAACCATTTGAGTACCTCATTTTGTTTTTAAATTTTTATTGGAGTATAGTTGCTTTACAATGTTGTGTTAGTTTCTACTGTACAGCAAAGTGAATCAGCTATACCTATACATATATCCCCTCTTTTTTGGATTTCCTCCACATTTAGGTCACTGCAGAGCATTGAGTAGAGTTCCCTGGAGCACCTCAATTTTTTAAACTAGGAAATGTTCAACACAATTAGCATGGTATTTCCATTTTTCCTGATCTATTGGAGGCCGATGGGGAATTGCTCCAAATCACCACTTAACAACAAATAGCTAATGTTTATTAAGTACTTATGAAGTATCAGGCACTGTTATAAGACCTTTACACATAGTTAAAAAAAAGAAAGCTCTCAGAAGTAAGGGGAAGTATCTGCCACATGGATATATGCATATAGGCACTAGGGAGGGGAACTACATATCAAATTAATGGACAGGTCATACTAAGCAGAAGGAAGCAAATGTTTACAGGTTCTAAAAAATAAAAATGCATTTCACAGAACAAGTGGAAATACCCGCTCGTCTTGACCTTGACTTTTAAGTGGGCAGTAGGAATTCATTCCTCCTCCTCATCAGAACCCTTTTCTTAGTGTGACAAGACTGAGGAAGAAGGGAATCTTAAGACAATATAGGCCTTCCTTGGAGCCCTGCCCACGCCGGCTAAATTAGGGCACGTCACGACCGCATCTGTCCCCACCACCCACCACCCACTCACGCCCAGAGTAAGGAAGAGGAAGGGTACTGACTCTTACCAGTAATAGAGAAAAGCCAGGGCCACGGTTGTGCGGAGAGGGAATTCCGTGGCTCCGAAACCTGCAGGTGGAAAGTGCGGAGCTGTGTGAGCAGCCGTGCGTGTGTCCGCGTGCGCCCGCCGGAGAATGTAGTGCGCTGGGAATACTCCCAGGAGCCAGCCTGGGGGGCATGTTCAGTTCTAACATTCTTATCCCAAGACGGGTCTGAGTCTTTTTGCTGGGAGTCTTTTCTCTGGCTCTCAGTTACCTGACTGGGGGCCATTTCTCTGCGGCTGGCAGAAGATTCAGCCGTGACGCTAGGGTCGGAGTCACCCAGTCCACGGCAACCGACGGTCACACAAGAGGCTCTGCACCCCATTCAGTCACACAAACGCCATCACCCACTAGTTCCAGCCTCACAACCGCACACAGTCCCGATGCCATACCCCGGTGAAGTCACGCCCACAGACACACCACACCGTTACACCTCCGCGGTTCTCACGCCCACTCGGGGCTGAGATGCTGGGCTCCCAACACTCTGAGGTGCTGTAGCGCTTCCCTTCCCTCTCCCTCATCCCCGGGCCGCAACGCCTTTCCTACCGATGGCCAGAACAAATGCTCCGAGCCAGGACTGCTCACCTGGGGCACCGAACCCGTCTCACGGTGATGCCCAGTGGAAGAGAGCGCGCGACACCTCAAGTAAGTCCACAGCCCCCGGAGCCTAACGGGCCGCGCGCGGGGCTTGTTGGGAGCGAAGGCTGCACGCACTGAGTGCGCAGGCGCGGCCGAGCCCCAGGGGGCGGAGCGTCATTGAGTGAGCTGCTTTGCGTGGGATGTGTCGAGTGAGCCCGAGATCCAGTCGCTCCTCAGTGGGGCGGGGTTCTCGGCTCTTTGTCCTCAGGAAGTCGCGGCTGGGCCGGAGCGGGGCGGGGACGGACTACAGGCGCATTAAAGAGGGATGTGTATGCGAAAATAGGACTCTCCGCGGGGCCAACCGGAGAGGTCCATGACCAAGGACAGCGCTTGTGTATCTGTCTTTGGAGTGGTTCCGGATGCGATTTTTTTCATTGAATGTGGCTGGTTGTGTTTGAGATGGTGCGACTGCTGGGATTGGAATGCGGTTTATGAAGATTTTATGACTGGAATTGTGTCGGGCTGTGTCGGACTGAGAATGTTGTGAGGGCCTGTGAGATAGTGGAGCTGACTGTGAGTGCATGAGGTTGCGTTTCTGTGAACGTGTCTGTAATTGAGCATTTCTGTGGCTCGGTTTTGATAGATTTGTTTTCCTTGGGCCTTCTCTGCAGACCCTGGATGTGAGTCACTCAGTGTGTGTCTTAGAAACGACCTGCCTGATTGTGTGGCGAGTGTGTGTGCTTCTGGTATGTTCCTGCAGGACTGAGGAGGTGGCTATCTGGATGATTGGATGTGACCAGGAGCCTCATTCTCCTCAGCTCTGAAGAGGGAAAGGAATATTGCATCTTCAAGGAGCGTCAACTTTACTGAAGGATTTAGTGAAAAAACGGATTTTTCTGGGAAATCATTTCACATTTAATCACAGGCTTCTTATGGAGAAAAATGCAAATAAGCATTACTTTAAAAATAAGATTTCAAAGGAAATTTCGGCATAGAGTAGTTGATTTGCTTCTGCCCCAAATTCCCATGAGTGGGCTTTCCCTCTCATGGGAAAGGGGGTTTTGTTAGGAAGATTTAAGAAGCCCTAGTCTATGCAAAAACATCTTTACACAAAAGAGAAGCAGTATGGCTAGAGCAGACAGTCCAGGATTAGGAAGTCAGATATCTTGAGTCCTGGATTAGACACTATTTTCCCTATGTTCAAGGAGGGCAAGAAAGACTCAAAGCATGAGTCCATACTGACATTACTAATTCAAATTTAACATTACAGAGTTTTATTCTTACTTTTTATTTTATATTTCTGCTTCTTTTCTCTAACAGAAATCCTAGTTCCTAGTAATATTAACATACTTATTTATTTCCCTTAGCCTAGAATTGCTATAAAATAGTTGAAAATTGTAATACCAATATTATTACTAACAATCAAGCCAGTAAATATAATTTTAGACTGTAGTTCTTTTAAAGCAGGGGTTGGCAAGCTATAGCCTGCAGGCCAAATCTGGCCTGCCACCTGTTGTATAGCTAGTGAGTGTCTATGGTGTCTGTGTTTTTTTAATGGTTTAAAAAATCAACGATAATAATCAAGAATATTTCATGAGGTGTGAAAATTATATATTTCAATTTGGGTCCTACACAAAGTTTTATTGGGACATAGCCATCCTCCTTTATGTATTGTCTATGGCTACATTTGAACTACAAGGGCAGAATTGAGAAGTTAGTATAGACTGAATGGCCTGTGGATTCTCATTATTCATGGTAGTTATATTCTATAAAGTTGTTGCAAACACTGAATTAGTGAACTGTTGCTCCTAGCAGAGAAACAAAGTTAGTTTCCTATAAACATCTGGTCACAACATTTTCCTCAACCAGTCAATACATAACATTGTTTTATGTGTTTCTATTTAAAGACACTTTTTATATGTTATTGATTTATTGACACTGTACTCAAGGCCAACAACAGCATAACTCATTCCTGAATGAAGTTTATCTAACACATGTATTGTCTCTGTAAGGCACATCTCTGTAATCCTTCTTGCCCTCAGGAACACTAGACAGCACTTCAGCGTAAACTTGGGGACCATTTTAAACAGCAAAATCACCAACAAAAAGCACAAAGATGAGGGACTTCCCTGGTAGTCCAGGGGGTAAGACTCTGTGCTCCCAATGCAGGGGGCCAGGGTTCAATCCCTGGTCGGGGAACTAGATCCTGCATGCATGCCACAACTAAAGATCCCACATACCACAACTAAGACCCAGCACAGCCAATAATAATAATAATAAATAAATAAAATTTTTTAAAAGCACAAAAATGAGAGGAATAAAGAAATACTAACAACACTGAGAAAAGGATACTTGTTTATGGTATAAGAACAGAAACAAGGGCTTCCCTGGTGGCACAGTGGTTAAGAATCCACCTGCCAATGCAGGGGACACAGGTTCCAGCCCTGGTCTGGGAAGATCCCACATGCCGTGGAGCAACTAAGCCCATGCGCCGCAACTACTGAGTCTGCGCTCTAGACCCCGCAAGCCACAACTACTGAGCCCGTGTGCCACAACTACTGAAGCCCGCGTGCCTAGAGCCCATGCTCCACAAAAAGAGAAGCCACCTCAATGAGAAGCCCGCACACCGCAATGAAGAGCAGCCCCCATTCGCCGCAACCAGAGAAAAGCCCGTGCTCAGCAACGAAGCCCCAACGCAGCCAAAAATAAAATAAATAAAATAAAATAAATTAATTAGAAAAAAGAACCGAAACAAGAAGGCAGAGGGTCCCCTATTTGACTTCAGCTGAGAACATGTGTGTCGGAAGACTCATTGGTCATCAATTTTCACATGCCAACGAATGACTAAAAAGGTTCTGGGAGTATTGACTCTGGGGTTACAAATGAATTTTAGCGAGTAGGTTAGTTTGCAAATATGGAATCTGCAAATAATAAGGATAGACTGCATTTACTATCTGGCCTTTTACAGAAAAAGCTTGCTGTCTCCTGTTTTAGAGTATATCCTTCTTAATTATAGAGTGTTTAAAAACTACTTGAAATAATTCTTTTCCTGTGCCATCAATAAATTCCATAATTAATTATAACCCATTAAATAAATTGAAATCCATAAACAAGAGAAAAAGAAGAATGCCAGCTAATAAGTTTGTTTTACATGGCTGTGAACTCTGCTTCAAGTACATTTACAATATTTGGATTTGATGAAGATTTTTGTATAGAATGACGTTTTCCTTTAAGTTCACATTCATTTCTATTGTCTTCTCTCATGTCACCTATCATCTTCAGTTAGGTAAGATAGTGACATTGTTAAAATGGATACATCTTCGTGGCATGAAGGCTAGCCATTGGTAGGATAATATTATAACACAAGTTATCAGGCAATACTGAGTTTTCTTTGAAGTCAGTGTCTATCTGATTTTTCCCAATGCTTAATGTTTGCCTTGCCTGCTGCTGACCAGCACTTCTGCTTCTTTACAGAGCCTTGACACTCATAGTGCCACTTGCATTGGTAGAACAAGGTGCCCAGAGAATAGCTTTTCCAAAGCTGGGCAATAGCTGGGTGAATGAGTTCTAATTACAGAAGATGTGCTGGTAGTTTTTGTGCATCCTCAAATGTATTTCTACTGGTCACTCTCCAGGGAGGGAGGGCACTGTTGCACTGCTCACTCCTTAGGTGTAGATTGCCTAGACTAAACCTCATATTTGCTTACTAAAGAGCTCTGCATCCAATTTCAGTGTGTGTGTGTGTGTGTGTGCGCACGCGCGTGTGTGTGTGTTCCCCACACCGCCAAGCAATTCTCGGACACCAGCTGGGTGTCCTGCAATTGGACTCAATTCTGATTCTGTGTACCTGGAGATAGTGTCAGATCCCAGAGGTTAAGGACCCAGTCCTACACCTCCCCACCCCCAACTTCAGATGCCAGTTGCAGGCATCTGGCACCCAGGTTATCACCTGTGCCTCTGACCAACGGGTTATAGATTGGAGATTTGAACAACCCCCTCCTTGGGTTTGATTAATTTGCTAGATCAGCTAACAAAACTCGCAGGAACATTTTACTTGCTGGATTACTGGTTTATTATAAAACAATATAACTCAGGAACAGCCAGATGAAGGAGATGCATAGGGAAAGGGCACATAGCTTCCATGCCCTCTCTGAATCTCCACGTGTTCTTGCACCACTATCCCTGAATCTCCACGTTTTCACCAAATCAGAAGCTCTCTGAACCCCATCCTTTTGGGTTTTTATGGAAGTTTCATTACATAGGCATGATTGGTTAAATCATTGGCCATTGGTGATTGATCCAACCTCCAGCCCTCCTCCCCTCCCTGGAGGTCAGGGGTGTGGGACTGAAAGTTCTGACCCACTAATCACATGGTTGGTTCTTCTGGCAACCAGTCTGCAGCCTTAGGTGTGGTCCATAAGTTACCTCATTTACATACCAAGAGACATCTTGATCACTTTCAGCACAGGATATTCCAAGGGTTTTAGGAGCTCTGGTGCAAGAAACAGGAAAAAGACCAAGTATTTGTTTCTTATAAATCACAATATCACACTTACTCTCCAACATCATTGTTGCTGTGAGCAGGTATGTTTCTGAGTGTGAAGTGCTACTCAGAACTGGCAGGACAAGGCATTCTCTTAGTGACTTCAAAGCCTATGAGAAATTGCAGGGAATTCCCATTGCGGTCCAGTGGTTAGGACTCTGCACTTCCATGCCGAGGGCGCAGGTGGATCCCTGGTTGGGGAACTAAGATCCCTCAAGCCACAATGCGCAGCCAAAAAAAAAAAAAGAGAGAAATTGCAAATGTATTCGTATCTTTACTGCAAATTTTCACATATTATTTAATGCAATGAAAGAAAGCAATAACAAACAGTTGAACATAGCAATGGAAAATGGATATGAATAGGCAACTAATAAAAGAAAAAATGCTGCTAATAAACACACAAATTTAATCAAGTTAGTGAGAAGAAATATCTCAAAAGAAATAGTTAAAATGAATTTTTTTTAATTAGGAAGAGAAAATTTTAAAAGATGTAGAATACCAAGGTAGGCATAGAAGTGGAAAACAG